TCTCCCCGAATATCTGCTAAAGAACATCAATAAGAACCTTAAAACCAGATTAAAAACAAAAAGCACAACACTTAAAGCTCTTGAGCCTTCGGTGGTGCTGCCGTGACGATGTGCTGTGGCAGCTCTCCCTGGGATGCAGGGTTCTCTCTGGGAAGGCAGAGCAGAGCGTTTGAGGGAACCCTGCATCTGGTACCAAAGAACCAATTTCTCTGATGCCTCCGTGGCTCTGCCTCCACCCCCTCCGTTGGAAACTGCACTTTTTAAGTTGATCTGTCACATGGACCTGACAGGAAAAATGTGTCGCCTATGATTTTCTGTGCTTGCTGACCGTGAATGACAGTGGGGGAAGGAAGGTGCCCGGGCTGAAGGTGCTGTGGTATGCGTTGGCCAACGTTGATGGTCACCAGCTCCTCCCTGGGCTGCCCTCAGGCTGCCAGGACGCCTTCCTGCAAATCACTCAGCACCTCACCTTGGCTTTGGGTGCTGCTTGGGTGATTACAGACCCAGTTTTATCTAAACGTTGGCAAGCCACCGCCAGGCGTTCGGGTGAGCTTGGCTGCCGAAGGTCGGAGGATGGCCCTGAGAGCAGTCCAGCTGGTTCTTGCTCAGAGCTGAGCTGGGGAGATAATGTCACCTGAGATACGCTTTTGCACAAGAGGCTGGATCTTTTGATGGGTCTCTTTTGAAGCCTGGTGAGTGGGGAGGGATCAACATGAGGGAAGGCATTTGCACCCACCTGGATGTGAGGACATCCAGGCGGATGACGTCCATGCCAGGAGAAGCAGGAAAAAACCATACCGTCACGGTCACGTCTATAGTACAGAGCTGGTCAGCTGCAGAGGAAGAGGCCTCTTGGTCTCTCTGTCGTGAAGTAACCTCCTCACCATCTGCTGGGATGAATGCGATATGGTACCCTCAAAGCCACCACTGGAATGGTGTTGCCTGCAGGAGGACTCTGTGTCTGGATTGGGAGTTAAAAGAAAATGCACTTGAGCTTCCAGTACCATTTCGAGAAACTTGAGGGTGCACAGTGTTTGTCCCCAGATTTCTCAGCCTCTAACAAGCATGTGACATGTCACAAAGCTGGACAGGGTTCCTTAGAGCAGCCTTCCAGTATCTGCAGGGAGCTACAGGAGAGCCGGGGAGGGACTCTTTGTCAGGGAGTGCAGTGACAGGACAAGGGGGAACGGTTTGAAATGGGAAGATGGGAGATTTAGATTAGATACCAGAAAGAAATTCATCCCTGTGAGGGTGGTGAGAGCCTGGAACAGGTTGCCCAGAGAAGCTGTGGCTGCCCCATCCCTGGAGGGGTTCAAGGCCAGGCTGGATGGGGCTTGGAGCAACCTGGTCTGGTGGGAGGTGTCCCTGCCCAGGGCAGGGGGTTGGAACTGGATGATCTTTAAGGTCCCTTCCAACTCTAACCATTCTATGACTCTATTTTTACAAATGAGGAACAGAAAATTTCATTTGCTTCTAATATCTCCCCTCATCAGGAGCGCAAGACGGGCGGCAGCTTTTTGGCGGCGTTAGGCCATCAGGCCAGCCGTAATCAGCATGTTTTATGTTTCTATGTGGGCTTCTGGCCACCTGTATAATGTCCATCTGTCAAACTGGGCGTGATGCCTACCACCAGCCCTGTGATCCAGACCATTGGAACGAGGCACGGGTTTCCAGGAGGTGGTGATGTTCCTGAAGGACAGTTTGCAGGAGCATGACAAACGCTGTCCTTTCTGTGGGACTGCTCCCAGTGCCGTTCACTTCTCCTTACTTTTAAGGCATTTGGGGAAGATGTTGTGGCAACGATAGCAAATGAATATTCACAGCCAGTGCCTGGGCCTTTTGAGGCTGGATCTGAGCAATTTTGGTGTATTCTTCTTAGAGCTGCACAGGGCTTTCCTGTGAAGGGTAAACTTGCTGGAAAACGCAATTTTAGAGTAACCGTATCTATTTGCCATCTGAAGGGAAATTTGTTAACTAGCTGTAAGTGGGAAAGGACGTGGTGAAAATGCCTTCGATGGGTGACACAGGACCTGTCTCTGCCTTCCCCTTTCAGCCAAGGTGCAGGGACCCCATCTCATGAAGCCCTGTGCCTAAGTTCCCCTTACTGCAAAAGGGAGTTTGAACCCACATCTCCCACCACCCAGTGGATGTCCCAAATTATGGATAGTCCAAAATCCTGCTGAGGGTCTTCTCCTACCTTTTAAAAGCAATTTGGGTTATTAGTACAGGGTTTGGATACTGAGGCTCTGAGCGTATAGGTGAATATTGAAAGTGTTGCCAGGGTTTTTCCCTTTTACCCTCAGTGACTGTGTCCTGATGGAAATGGAACAAGTTTGATAGGATCAACCCAACTCCTGTACCTTATAATCTCATAGATCATCCTGCCGGTCTTTAGGAAGAGAAAATGGGAAAGCCTGTTTTGGGGAACACTTGGTTAAAGGTCTGATAGTAATGGAGCGAGAGGGCCCGTATGAGAAGGCACAGCCAGAGAACAAATTTCTGCTGGAGCACCTTGGTCTTCTATATTCAGCTGTCTCTTGGCTGTTTCTACAGAAAAGAATGCCAAATGCAAGAAGTTATTAAATTATTTTTATTGTTCTGTTTTGTAAGTTCAGGTTGAATTGATTTCTTGCTTGGAAGACAATGGCTTTGTCTACATTAGTAAATAGCACCACGCAGGAGGAGCAGATCTGCAGAGCCAAACAGTAATGAAGACCTGGGCAGGTTTCAGGGGGTTTGCTTCAAAACAGCTTTATTCTAACCCCTTTCTGAAGGGAATTTTGAAAGAAACTTGTAACAAATCAGGAGACCAAATATTGCATGTTGAAAATGTCAACAAAACCTTTCAATTTATTAGGAATATTTCTAGTTTTCTGCCAAAACAGAGACTTAAAAAAACCTGGCCCATGCTCATAAGACATTTCAATGCTGTTGAAGCTGTATTCTTTTTTTGTTGGCAATTGTTTCAGCTGAAACTCTATCTGGTGCTTCTTGAGGTCATCTGCATCCTTCTTAAACCTGCGTTATCTTGCTGTGTGTGTGACTCTTGCTGTCGTTTCAAAGAGGTCTATACACAAAATCAATCCCTTCATAACCCTTCTAAAAAGGTATTCTTATACCCATCTCTTCCTGCACCAGAGAAAGGAAAAAAAAAGAAAAGAAAAAAAAATCCAGTGCTGCCGTCTCAAGATTTTTGTTCTGACAACTCTGCTGCATGACACGTTTGCTGTAGCTGCAGGAAACTGAGAGAGAGGAGGCAGCAACAAGGGCAAGACGGGCACTTGGGAGCTGGGAAAAAATGGGGGATCAGATGGAAGGAGCGTGTGAGGCTCGTGCAGAAGCAGCGCTGAGTGTAGTCAGCTTTGCCAGGGCGATGAGGTCTGCAGAGGCTGTCCCGTGGTGGAGGCAGGGAGGACTGACTGGTGTTATGCCAGGGGAGGTTCAGGCTGGATATTAGGAAAAATTTTTTCACTGAAAGGGTCATCAGCCATTGGAATGGGCTGCCCAGGGAGGGGGTTGAGGCCCCATCCCTGGAGGTGTTCAAAAGACAGGTTGATGTAGTGCTGGGAGGTATGGTTTAGTGATGGTGATGCTTTCTGTTTGTTGTGCGGGTGTCTGTTTTTGTCAAAATTAGGTTGACGGTTGGACAAGATGAACTTTAAGGTCCCTTCCAACCTAGAAGATTCTGTGATTCTGTGTTCTGAAGATTACGTGGACTCTGGAAAGCAAGCAGATTAACCAGAGTAAATCATAGTGACTGGAGGTACACTCCAATGCAGTCAGCACCCTTGCAGACAGCAAGTGTTAGCTACTTAGCAAGTTTGTGGTTTAGGTATTGGATTTGTCCTGTGGATCAGCTCTGGCTGATCTCTGTACCAATGCGTATTTGGGATACTTTAATATTTTACTGAAATGTGGTTCGTTTAGTGTCAGACATCAGGATAGGTCAAACGTCAGTGCAGGTTTTGCTGTGTGTGAATGGCCTGGGATTTCCTGCCAGGTGCCTCATTCATCTTGGCATATCCAGAGGCATATGGCAAGGAAAAGTTAGAGTCTTGACAGGATGCTAGTTTTGGAGCAGCATATAACTCTAACATCAGGGATAAAATAGACATCAGCAAATAGCTAGTGACGATTGAACAAATTGTAACGTGATCTAGTTTTTATATCAGGAGATGAGAAGACTGCCATATTAGAGAAATAATCTATATCTATGCATTGCCCTCCTCATAGTTGCCAAGTAGTCTCTCCTTTAACTTGCAGATACCAGCTGCTTTTAAACTCACTCAGTGTGTGCATCATGCTGCCTGAAACACCAACTCCGAATATTGTTTGGTGCCTGTTGCTAAGTTTTTGCCACTTATCCTAAACAATTCATCAATTTCTGTTTTATTGTTTGTAACAAAGTATGTTCTCTGACATTTCTCTCAGTTACAGAACAAGAATTAACCTACATCACTGTACAGGCATAACTAAACCAGTCCTTACAGGGTTTACAAGTTTTTTAAGTCCAAAGGTTCTATTTGAATGTTTCTTGGGATTGCTTGTTCAGCATGTAACTTGGATTCTTTTTTAGGTTGCCTTTAATAAACAAGAACAACACGTACTTAAAAATTTATTTTAAAGATTCCTGTGCTTGGGAAAAAAAAACAAAACAACAAACCTTGGGTTTTGGACAAAAATAAAAATGTCACTAAAAATTACTGATCTCCAGGAAAACTGTCAGTATTCATTCAGGTTTTTTTGAAGACATGAAATCAGAAACATTTTGGTTTCTGGAGTTAGTAGGATAGCAGGTAGTTTTCAACTGTCTGTTCAGGTTTGTGTTTTTAGAAGAGAGGCAGTGTCAGACAGGCAGAAGTTTGTCTGGGCTTTCCCTGGGCTCGAGAAAGATGTGCAGGTAATTCTAAATACGTGTGTGAAGAGCAGCTTTAAAGCTGGGTTTTGAAATGACTGGCAAAACCTATGTGTGACCGACTTGTTTTTCTCTTGTTTTACAGGTTCCAGAATCTGCTGTGGTCTCGAAAAGCATTTGTGGACAGTGTGAAGGTGTACAACCACAGCTACATCTACATGCCAGCCTTCTCGATGAAGACAGGGACAGGACCCTCCCTACGTGTCTACTACACCCTGGAGGACTTCGGTGCCAAGCAGGCGGTCCTGTTTGCCAACCCCAATTTCCTGCGTGACATTGGCAAGTTCTGGAAGAGCAAAGGTATCCACGCCAAACGGCTTTCCACAGGACTCTTCCTGGTCAGTGCCGCCCTTGGGCTGTGTGAAGAAGTAACAATTTATGGCTTCTGGCCGTTCTCGGTGGACCTGCACGGGAAGTTTATTAGCCATCATTACTACGACAATGTCTTGCCCGATTCTGGATTCCACGCCATGCCAGAGGAGTTTCTACAGCTCTGGTTTCTTCACAAAAGTGGTGTACTGAGAATGCAGCTAGAACCATGCGAGGACCCTTCAATCCAGTCTTCTGCCTGAGGATCGTAGGATTTGGTTTGGGAGATCCAATGGTTTTTAATTTCCATGCTCTCCGACAGAGAGTTCTGTTTTCTGTTGATTCTTTTTAAAGGGAAAATAATCATGGATCTGCATGGACCATAAAAATGCTACTTGAAGGCCAAATGGAATACGTCCTTAATGTATAGTGCTTTATGGAACTGGGGTGGGGGAAAGCGAATCTCTCCATCGAGTCCATTCAGCAGCATTGTGAAAATAATGTCAGAAGCAGCACAGCTGAACTTTCGGGGGGACATTTTTGAATGACTGATGTAAAAAAGGGCATTAAGGCTCGGAGAGACACAGGGCCACCCACAAGCTTTTGCTGACAGTGCCAAATATGACTGTCTGTTCAAAAATCCATTTCATTCCAGATTGGCACCTCGTACAACTTTCCTTTTTCCTTTTCTTTTTTTTTCCCCCCTCTGTGTGTGTGGGTGTGTAGGAGAGCATGTGTGTGTTGTTGACTTTCTTTGTTTCGGTCCTTTTTCTTTTTTTCTTTTTTTTTTCTTTTACATTGGTTTTTTTTTCCTGGTGGAAGAAAAAAGGAAAGGGTTAAAAGCCCCAGGAGCTGAGTACCATCAACTCCTCTAAAGACTCTTGGGAGAGCGATGGGTGCTAAGAATCTGGTTAGAAGAATGTCCTAGGAATGCCCTGCTACTGGGTATGGGTGGACCTGCTTGCTGTAGGTTTCATGAGGGTAGTTTAAGTCACTGCACCTATAGCTATACGTATATGCTATACTGTGGGCAAGACCTGGTTAAGGGAAATTTGTCTGAAAATAAAACTTGTGTTACAAAACCAGTAGTGAAGTGCAGCCTGCTTTCAGTTGGCCTGCTGCGAGATCTCCATAGTGACTTTGGTAGCAGGGATGGTTCTTGGCCTGTTTTGCTGTCCGGCCTTGGGGATTAATTCTGTATTCGTTTGGACTCCAGATGTTCATTGAATGTCAAGGGGGATTTGAGGTGTTCAGTGGAATGCTGAATGAGGCTCTTCATTTGCTTATAGCAGGAAAAACTGCAGAAATTGAATGTAAGTGTCATGTAAAACGAGTTGAAGCTTTGAAAAGCCTTTCTCTCTGTGCGACTCGCTCTTCTGCTGGGATTGTAACGTCAGCCTTAACGACTTGTACTCTTCTCGCCAGATTGTCTCTGGTTAAAGATAGTCTGGAAAAATAAAACAGCCTTTGGGAGCGCTGAAAAAACTGTGTGGCCAGCAAGAAAAAAGTAAAAAGAAAAGGGGGCCGTCAGGTGGCCTCTCTCCTGGCGGTGGGTGAATTACATCAGTGTGCGCATTGCATCCGGCCAGCACGGTGCCCGAAGGACTGTTTTATTTTGGGTTATTACTTGGGCAGCAGATGGTCCTGTCGCCGTGTAAATGAGACATCTTTTTTCTTTGCTTTGGTTTGGTTTAGCACTGTAGGAGAAGAAGAGAATACCGACTCAGTCTGCCATGCAATTTCAGCTGCAGGATGTTACCACCATTAACTTTAAAATCCAGACCAGTGTTCTTTTTCTTATCTTTCCATCACTAGTAGCTGAAATTCTAGTTTCCAGATCTTTCCATCACTAGTAGCTGAAATTCTAGTCAAAGTGTTGAAACAAAAAAGCTCTCATCAGGTTTCCACAACAATTTCCTGTGCTACCTGTTTTAGCTCCGAAGTGCTAGTATTTTGGGGGATGTGTCCTATCATATGTTGACAACGTCTCTCTTTGTAGACTACCAGTTGCAACTTATATAGATATAATTAAAAAAAAAGCAAGCAAAATCCGTGGCTCTTCTTTAAATATGAATAATTCAACTATCTATGAAGGACACTGGAAAAAAAGATATCATATTTTGCTTTTTAAACCGATGTTTCATAATAAAATCTTCTTTCTAAATATGAATATTACAAGCATAAAGTGGACCCTGTTCCGTAGGATTACAGGGCAATGATAAACTGTAACATGGGGAGTTGGATTAAATAGTGCTCTAGAGATTGTTCTGATAAAATCTGAATGTGCTTCTATCACCCATTTTATCTTTGTCCATATTTTTGTTAAAAGTACAGTCAGCGCACTGATGGGACATCACTTGATCATTCCTTTCCCTTTCACTATGTTTGTTTTTCCTGTGACGTGGGTACTCAGGAAGGATTTGAAAGTAAAATATTTTCTTTACTGCTTGTTACGGCAGAATTTTACTGAGCTGCCTTTCTTGGAGAAGAAGCGGGGCCTGTATGGTTTTTATTGTTTGCATCCAGTTTTGCACTTCTCAGTGCTTTAAAGATTACGTTATCTGTGAGAAGAACGGTTGAAACATGGTGTGCTAAAGTGGCACTTCAGCAGGATGCCAGTTCTTTCCTTGGGGCTGGGAGGGAATGAGGAGAGTAGCAGGAAACTGCCTCTTTGCTGGCCTTTTTTTTTTTGTGTTTTTACCAATACTTGGGAATTTAGTTCTGAACCTCTCTGATGGCTGTCCAACCCTTTGATAATCCTTTTTTCCCTGCCTTGGGAAAAAAAGCGGATTAGAAGAACAAGAGAAAAACGTGTATTTTTTTTTTTAGGAAAACTCTGTGCAGAGTTTCATAATATCTGGGGCTTGTTCAACCGATGCCCTGGGTATTAGAGATGTGTTCCCCACCTCTGTGAGACTGAGGCAGACTGAACCAGTAGCCTGTGGTCTTTGTGAGTCCCTTCTGATGCCTGGAGTTCTGCCATTTGCGAGGAGATACCTTCAAAAAAAAATTATGGGAATAGGAGAAACCCAGGCTGTGTGTGACGTGTGACTGATGTTGGAGAAATTGTTTAATTCTGGCTCTGTTGACATTTATGTATAGTGAATATAGCTGTGTCTTATGAAGACAGCTGCGTTCGATGGGGAAGTAAAGGCTTAAAGGATAAATAATTTTCTGTAACTTCCAGAAAAACTGGCGACTGAGGAAAGAAGAGAAAGGAAAATTAAACGCCCCTTTTGAGAGAGCAAAATTCTGTTTTAGCGGGCTGAGTTGTCAGTCCATGCAGACAATGGTGAGCGACCAGCCTTTTGCCCAGCGAGTGAAAAGGGACACAGGAGAGCACTGAAAGTGTTTTGTGGCAAGAGCACACACACACACAAAAAGAAAAAAACAAGGGAGTGACAACTGCCTGACAGCAATGATGGAGAAAATATACTCTGTCCGTGCTGCTGCTCAGCGTGAGGCTTGCCTTGTCTAAATCTGGGAGGGTGAGGATCCATGCATAGGAGCATTGATGTGACACAAAGCACTGCATGCAAGTGGCTGAAGCTGTGTCCTTCTTTAGGAGGGAGGTCACACCATGGGAAAGGACAGCACTTCTGCCTAAAGACAGGCAGAGGCAAATCCAGGAGGCTAACTGTGTTAACCGTGAGGAATCAGCACCTCGCAGTCATGCCGGAGTGATTGTATGAGTTCAACATTTACCTACTGATTGATTCCAGTCCATTGATGGCAGTTTTCTTCATCACATCTCATTGCTTGTGTTGCTACGTATTCCCTGAAGTGACTTGAAGTCTCAATGTATATTTTGTTAGTGAAATTTTCTACTCTAGATTCTCTGTTTCCACTGCCATGGAAATTCTCTAAATTTTTCTAATAGAGTAGATAAAGCTGCACAAGTCTTTGCCAGGTTGAAAGCTACTGCAATGCATCTTCAATAAAAACTGGTTCAGACTAGCCAAATGATTTGTTAATGTTCCTAGTTATTAATTTTATCATAGAAGTGATGAGGTACAGAAGTGCTGGAATCACTGCTCTGCATAGGAAGCGTTTACCCACGTTTGTAAGTGGAATATATTCAATTCCTTCACAAGAGCTGTTCATGGAAGATATTCAGTTCTGAAATAGCTCTAGATATAATAATTTTGGGGGTATATATGCTTTTGAGTAAATCAAGACCAGTTTTTCAACTTGCGCCAAAATTATGGAAAATTTCTGCTTCCTGTTGATTATGAAGCCTTTGGAGCTCCTTCTAAAACAGACCAGCCAAAGCAAAGCCAGAAAGGGCTGTGTGTGCTCATGACAATAAAAACATTTGTAATTTTGGCACAGACCTTGCTGTAATACTAAGGGCTCTTATTCATGAATGTTGTATTTTTGCAGAAATGAAGATACCAGGTTTGGGTTGAACCAGCTACAAAAGTCAAAGGTTCAAGCCTCTGTTACAGCTTAACTTTTGTAGAAAGATAGGCTGTTTTGTCAACTTGACTACTTTCACCTTTTTGTTAGCTTCATCAAAATGGTGTCATAGCATACACTGCTGAGTTCACACCTCCATGGGAGCTGAAACGAAGCGCAGCATCTGCTTGTTTTAAACTGAATGTCTAAACTGTGATAGTTATGTAAAACCCTTCCTCTGTACATCTGCATGGAAGCTGGTTTAATATCTAGCTTACTCTTTCCTGCGATTAATAGGGAGAACAGGAGTGAGGATGATGGAGGTGAATGCTGTCATACTGTTTGCTGCCTGCTTTGGTTCTTTATGAGACCTTGTCCAGAAATGTCTGTTCAACAGCTCCGTAGCAGTTCAGGAGATGCTTCAGGGGCTGTGGCTGTCCCCGTGTGCTGTGACCTCCGTAATGGGACCTGATCCCAATGTCATGTGGTTCCATCAGATCTCCCTCTGGAATCATCTGCACTTGTATTTCTTCCCCAAGAAGTCGTCCTAAAGTATCTCTTTGCTCTGTCCTTCCTGATGACCACCCTCATTGGGGTTAGAAGTGTGAGTTAAAAAATCAGCCGTAAGGTAGCTAATATACTTTGTCTTTTTGAACCATCTTTTCTTCTGAAGTGCTGATAAATCTCGCAAGAGTTAGCTCCAAATCAAAAATAGAACTTCACTTAGGTGTTGGTAATTCCATCACTGGAGAAGAGAAAGAGGATGGAAGAAGGGTGTGCTTTTCAGAGCGATTACTGTAAATCAGCTTCTCCTTCCTTGAATTCCCATATTTTGCTGGTTGGAATTTGTCAGATGTTTGACTTTCTGGTAGTTTTTGAAAAGAACCATTAGTAAAAGACTTACTGGCCTTTTTGTTAAATATGAGCAAACTCATTTTCGTAAGTGTAACACAAATACCCAACAGGGGGCTTAACCCATTGTCCCGAGCTTCTATTTCTTTGGCAGCAATGAGAACTTAAACCGCTACTTATTCCTCCCTAATTATTCATTTTCTTCAGTTTTTCTTAGGGCAGGTTGAGCCCTAGTGTATTCAGCCTCTTCAGCTTAATACACATATTAAAAATGAATCTCACTCTGTCTTCTCAGCCGTTAAAAAAAAAAAAAAAAGAGAGAGAAAGAAAAAGTGTTGTCAACTGAAAATGTTTGCATAGGTTCTCTCTGCAATCAGGAGAGATGGGCACCTCCAGATGGTGGTTCATCTTTTACACGAGGTTTAACTGTGGTGAGTGACTCCAAAGTGAGTGTAGGAAAGCGACACCACTGGTAATTGTTCTCTGGGTTTATGAATAATCTGGTGTTCGATAAAACACTGAAGCACCTTTTGAGTAGCTCCTGTTGATTTCTAATTGTATAGTCAATGGATTGTTTTGCTCCGATGGGGCCCATAGCAAAGAGGAGTCGCATCATTTTCTGTCTGTTGGAAAGGAGCAGTTACAGATGCATAATGTATTTTAAGCTGAATTCTTACCAAGAAGTTAGGGAATCTACGTCTTCTGTGGGACGCTTTGTTATTGTGTGATTACCTTGGTAGTCGAGGAAACATTTCCACTAAAAACGGATACACAGAAGAAAAGAGATTTTTGATTAGAAGAGCCTACTCTGGAGCATTGAGACCCAGATTTGAGT